CGGGGTCAACGCCCCCGCGGCCCGGTCTGTGACCAGGCTCCTTAGGTCAGTGTCCCAGGATGCGACCCACACCAGTCGACTAACACCCAGGTACCCATTTTACTGATGGGGAACATAGACAACAGGTGGAAAGAAACACGTCCAATGTTTCTACTCTGGCTGGGAATCGAACCCAGGCCCTCACCGTGTGAAGCGAGAGCGTTAACCACCAGGCCACCAGAGCCTTCGGTACATAGTACCAAATCTTTGATAGAATGCCTACTGTCTTAGAGACTTTCTTAGAAATTGGCTGTATGTGTGTCTGGAATTTGAGACTACTGTCACGGTGGACTCCTAGAAATTTACTCTCCTTTAGTCTAGAAATGGGTGACCCAAGATAAAATGAATAATCTCCTAGATGATATTGAAACCTATTCAGATCTTAGAAAGAATCCCTTAGAAACTGTTAACAGCAATTTCAATAAAACAATAAAACATTTACTGAAAGGCAAAGATGAATTACTGAAAAAAATTACATCCACAAATCCATCTTTACCCTATATGTATAATTTAATACAAACACATAAACCAGGTAATCCAGTTCGACCAATTATTAGCTTCATAGGTTCAGTTTCTCATAAATTATCTAAATGGCTTGTTGATATTTCGAGCCCAATTAATGGATAAATTAAACACCTTGACTGTCTTAAATAATTTTAACATGGTTAGTTTTGATCTTACTTCCTTGTTTACAAAAGTTCTAGTTGATGATTTACTAAGTTTCTTAACTGAAGAACTTGTTAATTACGATTTACCGTTGCCAGTTACTGTATCGTTAGCCTTATTAAACTTTGTATTGTTGATGCAAAATTTGTATTTAATGGTGAGTTTTACGCTCAGAAGTTTGGTATGGCAATGGGAAATCCTCTTTCTCCTGTTCTTAGTATTTTATAAAAGGAATTTTTTGAAACCAGATTGCTTAACACAATCTATCCTACTACAGCTAAGTAGTATAGATACGTTGACAATATTTTATGTTTTATGTCTTATGCCGAGGACTGTAGAGATAAGCCATTTCCTTGTTTAATTAAATAAACTCACGAAATCGTAATGCCACGAGTGCAAACAAACCATACCACTGACCCAGTGACTGTCGTGTCGGTCTGGAGTTTTGTGACTCTCTGATCGCGGGTTCTATTCCCACCCGTGGTATGGTTTGCTTAAATTAAGTAGCTCAGTCTATAAATTTTACTGTTGAATTCAAAGTAAATAACTCATTGCCTTTAATAAATGTTTAAATTATTAAAGATAACAATGATTTTAAATTTAAAATTTTGCAGAAAACCAACAAATAACTGTTCCTATGTACACTATTATTCTTCACATCAAGATAAAGTTAAACTGTCGGTTTTCTCATCGATGTTTTTGAGAGCTTTACGTATTTGTAATCCAGAATTCATAGATGAAGAAATATCCAAAATTTATGAAATAGCTAATGATCTAAAATATCCAAGAAAAGTAATTGATAATTCCTTTAAAACAGCTAGAAATACTTAAAAAATAAATCTTGAAACAGTAAAAAAAAAAAAAAAAACTTTTGATAAAAAAATCCCCCCAAAATGCTGACAGATGTGTCTATAAGATTCCTCGTGAAATATGCGATAATGTTTATTACGGTCAAACTGGTAAAAGTCTCGAACTAAGTTAAAAAAAAACATAAATACAGCATTAGAGCTGGACAAGATTCTAATGCTCTATTTATTTATGTGAGAGATTTTATTCATCTAATTCATTTTCAAAAGGCTGAGAAAGTTGTATCAAGTCCATGTTACGAAAGAGAAAAACCATTACAGGCTAAATACTGAAAGGGATTTATTCAAGAACTCTCTAGAGTTATCTGCTCTCTTTAATTGTGTAATCCAGCAACACACAAAATTTCCCTTTTTGTAACAAAGTCTAACACTTGTAATATTACATAAATCACAGTCTAACAATTGTAATATTATACAAGTTACAGTCTAACACTTATAATATTGTTACACTCTATTTTATTTCAGACAATAAGAGAGAAGTGCAGGTGTTGCCACCATCAAGTGTTGTGACACACTAGTGCAGCTGTTGCCATCTAGTGTTGTATTTTGACATATCAGTGCAGGTGTTGCCATCTAGTGTTGTATTTTGACATATCAGTGCAGGTGTTGCCATCATCAAGTATTATGTTGTAACACCACATCAATGCAGGCGTTGCCATCATCAAGTGCTGTGTTGTAACAACATCAATGCAGGTGTTGCCACCATCAAGTGTTGTGTCGTAACACAACATCAATGCAGGTGTTGCCACCATCAAGTGTTGTGTTGTAACACAACATCAATGCAGGTGTTGCCACCATCAAGTGTTGTGTTGTAACACAACATCAATGCAGGTGTTGCCACCATCAAGTGTTGTGTTGTAACACAACAGTCAGGCCATTCATCACAATATTATCACACTACTTACATGTGTTAATACATCATGGCTGATTCATCTAAGGAAGTTCTTAATGGATATAGACTTGTGAAAGCTATTGCATTCTGTGGTAGAAAAGTCTTGTACAAGATTTTCCTCTTGGGAACCCAGGATAAACCTTCTCACATGGCACTGAAACATTACTTGATAACCTCACAAGGAGAAAATGTAATGAAAAATTTTAACAGCACTCAGAAGGAAATGATTGATAAGAATGCTGATGGATCAAAGTTTGATATGTCACTACTTTATGTTAGCATCAAAGTATCGTGTAAGACCGTGGCTCCAAACAATGATCCAGTATGGTTTACTCCCGGTACACATATGGAGTACTACATTACTGCTGTTAAGAATATGAGGAATGATCATCTTCACGGTCAACTTACAATTACTGATAAAGTTTATTTTGAAAATATGATGAAACTAAGGGAACTGTTAACTGGTTGTCTTAAGACATCTGGAGAGAAGTATGGGAGAGACGAAGCTGAAGTGAAGGAAGAGATCCAGCAGATGAATGATGAACTGGACAACATCATGAAGGAAATTCTTGGAAAACAAGATATATTAACATTTTGTGGTGATGAAATGAAAAGTCTTATGATTAATGAAAGTCGTGATAAACTTAAGGAGATCTTCCAAAGTATCAGCTATGTCAACCCAGTGTCTTTTATCACTAGTAACTTGAAACTTAAAGTTGGCAAAATCTTTGTAAATATTCAGGTCAAACATGGACAACGTGGAGGTGAAGGTGAACATATAAGTTATCAACACCTTCTTAAACTTGTTCAGACTACAGCAACACCATCATTTACAAGCACTGTTTTACAACAACAGTACCAGACTACAGCAACACCATCATTTTTCAAGCACTGTTTTACAACAACAGTACCAGACTACAGCAACACCATCATTTACAAGCACTGTTTTACAACAACAGTACCAGACTACAGCAACACCATCATTTACAAGCACTGTTTTACAACAACAGTACCAGACTACAGCAGCACCATCATCAAGCACTGTCTCACAACAAGGTACATGTACTTACCCACATATAATATTGCTTGAAGGTGTGGCTGGCAGTGGCAAGACTACTCTAGTGAAGTTAGTAATATATGAATGGACTCAGGATGGTCAAGGTAATATTAGTGACTTAGATAATTATGACCTTCTACTGTGGGTACAGTGCAGTGACCCAACAATGACCTGCTACCAGCACCTCCTCGAAAGACTGATGCCAAAAGTAGCCATAAAATTCAAGGAAATTCTTCCTAAGCTGATGAAGCTTTGTAAGACCTTAATTATAATTGACGGTCTTGATGAAGATAATGAAAGTTCTAGAACACTAGTCCAGAGTCTATTGCAAGAATTTAAGTACTGTTCTAATATTGCTTTTCTGTGCACTTCACGACCAGAAAAAGTTGAGAACTTTAGGAGAACAATCCCTGCAGAGTATACTGTGCAACATGCAACACTACATGGTATATCTAGGACAAGTGTAGTACAGTTCGTGCGTCTGAACCACCAGGAAATAACCAAACAAACAGGGAATAACAGAAATACTGAAGAACTGGTAAGAAAAGTAAGTAAGTTAGAAGGAATTCATGAACACTTAAGACTACCAATGAATTTGATTCTTATGATATACATCTGGGACCACGACCCTGACCAGCTGAACTTAACATCTGTCACTCACACGGAGCTATATTATAATATTCATGAACTGTGTAAACACAAGTTAATAGAGAGACTGACCAACCATAAAGCTACAAAGAATATGGATGACAGGAAATTAAAGTTTAACATTAACAATATTTTGATAATAATATACAAGACAGCGCTAGAAAGTCTTTCAGGTGATCAGTTAAACCTTGAGGAAGAAACTGTAGATAAACTGATATCTACCTGTGATGAACTGTGTTTACCTTACAAAGAAGTGTTGTCAGCGTTCCTTTGTTTAAGACCAACATGGACGGTTCGAGGGATCACGGAGCAGTACTCAGCTCCTCACAAGGGAATACAAGATTACTTCGCTGCTCTCTATATTGTGAGCAGTCTTAATAACCCACAGTGCTCTACACCCACATCTGCCTCAGCTACACTTGTCAGCATCAGGGGAGTGTTAGAAGAGAGCATCAGGTCAGCCAGGGTAGACATGAACAAATACCAGAATGTTCTGATACATGTGGCTGGGCAGCTCCACCTGGTATTAGACCAGGTACCTGAGGCATCTGCACGGGAAATAGTTCATCTCCTACAAGAGTCTGGTATGAGAGACAAAGACCAGTGGCTCGACCTCCTTGACAACACTAAGATGTCTCCAGTAATTGTCAAAGAAATCTCTCGTTTCTTCACCAGTGAAGAAACAATTGTACGTAATGAACGAGTGAGGAGCTACACTGCTCTCCTACCACACCTCAGCTCCAGCGTGGTGAAGATTATTATCCGTGGTGACCCGAGTAACCTGCCTGGCCTGCCTGATCTGCTGGCTGCCTTCACCCACCAACAACGTTTACAACCTCGGTGAGTTGTTGTTAATGTTAATAATGTTACTATATATGATAACATTATCTTTACCTTAATTTTATTGTTAATGTTAATAATGTTACTGTATATGATAAAAATCTTTATCTTAACATTATTGTTAATGTTAATAATGTTGATGTATATGATAACATTATCTTAACATTATTCTTAAGGTTAATAACGTTACTGAATATGATAACATTAAGAATGTCTTAACATTATAGGTGTTAACATTGTTGTTGTTGTTGGTGTTAACATTGTTGTTGGTGTTTACATTGTTGCTGGTATTAACAGTGTTGTCGTTAACATTGTTGCTGGTGTTAACACTGTTCTTGGGGCCGTCATTGCTGTTGTTAACATTGTTGTTGGTGTTATCATTGCTGTTGCTAACATTGTTCTTGTTGCTAACATTGTTGTTGGTGTTAAAAATGTTATTAGTGTTAACATTGCTGTTGTTAATACTGTTGTTGCTAACAATGTTGTTGTAATGCGAACATTGCTGCTAGTGTTAACACTGCTGTTAGTGTTAACTTTATTGTAATGCTAACATTATTATTCTTGTTAAGGTTGTTGTTGGTGTTAACATGTTATTGCTGTTAACATTGTTGTTGGTGTTAGCACTTGTTAGTGTTAATGTGGTTGTTGGTGTTAAGATTGTTGTGTTAATATTGTGGTAATGTTAAAATTATTGGTGTTAAGGCTGTTTTTGGTGTTAAGGTTGTTAACATTGTTGTTGGTGTTAACACCGTTGACAGTGTTAATATGGTTGGTGTTAAGATTGTTGTTGTTAATATTGTTGTTGCTAACATTGTTTTTGGTGTTTACATTGATGTTGGTATTAACATTATAGTAGTATTAACATTATAGTAGTATTAATATTGCTGTAATGTTAACATTGTTATAATGTTAAGACTGTTATAGGTGTTAATTTGCTGTTATTGTTAACATCGTTGATGATGTTAACATCGTTGTTGTTTTTTTTTTATATAATCAAAAAGAAGCGCTAAGCCACAAGGGCTATACAGCGCTGCAGGGTAGGGAAGGAAGCGAGGGTATTGGATGGCAGAATGGAGGAGGTATGATCAGTAGGTTACAGAAAACAGCGGGGCAGGGGATAGTACGGGGGTAGAGGGTAGCAAGAGATTGAAGTAGAAAGGGCTGAAGGTATCAGAATTTGTGAAGTAAGTCAGTTGTTGTCAAAAAGTCAATGAGAGAGTCTGGATGAAAGGTGGGTCCATCAGCGAGAAGGGAAGGTAAAGAGAGAGCAGCGGAGCGAAGACGACGACGGAGGTAAATTCTGCGTGCTCGTTGATAAAGTGGGCAGTCCAACAGAATGTGGCTGACTGATAATGGAGCTTGGCAATTCTCACAGAGAGGAGCAGGGCGCCTCTCCATGAGATATCCATGAGTAAGACGAGTATGGCCAATGTGAAGACGGGAGAGAGTAGTCTCCCAACCTCGACACTGGTGATAAGAAAACGGCCAGTAACCTATACTCGGTTTAATAAATTGAAGTTTGTTACCGAGCATAGTAGACCAACGTTGTTGCCAACGGGTGTGAAGGTGGGAAGATATTGCAGCAAAATAGTCCGGAAATGGAATACCTCTATATGAAACTGGTAGGTCATGTACTGCTGACCGCGCAGCAGTGTCTGCCTGTTCATTGCCCTGTACGTCAACATGACCAGGGACCGAACAAAAAACAATATCTTTATGCTTGGTAAAGATGCGGCGTAGCCAAAGTTGGATACGGAGGACTAAGGGGTGAGGTGTATCAAATTTCTGTATAGCCTGTAAAGCACTAAGGGAGTCTGAGACAACCACAAATGATGACACAGGCATAGATGCAATACGGATAAGTGCTGTAAGGATGGCATACAATTCAGCAGTAAAAATACTAGCCGAAGATAGTAAATGCCCTTGTACGACGCTGTCCGGAAACACTGCTGCGAATCCTACGCCGTCAAAAGACTTAGAGCCATCTGTGTACACAGCAATGGCATGAGAATGAGAGTGAAAGTGGTCAAGAAAAAGAGAGCGGGAAGCGACCGTAGACAGTTGGGCTTTCGAGCAAGGGAGAGAGAAAGAACAGACTCGAACAGCTGGAACTTCCCAGGGGGGTAGGAAAAGTGAGATGCTACATGTACATAGAAAGGTGGTAATTGAAGAGAAGACAAGAGCGAATGAAGGCGAAGAGAGAAGGGACGGAGTAAACAGGGGCGGCGAACAAATAAAGAATGTCTACTAATATCAGTGACCATTCTATAAATGGAAGGATTGCGGAGATCATGAGAGCGTACATAGTAGCGAAGGCAATGGGCATCACGGCGATCGGATAAGGATGGAACGTTCGCTTCTGCATAGAGGCTCTCGACAGGGGAAGAGCGAAAAGCACAAAGGCATAAACGTAATCCATGGTGATGAATGGGGTTAAGGCTAGAGAGAGTAGCAGGAGATGCCGCTGAATAGATCTGGTCACCATAATCAAGTTTCGATAAAATAAGGGTGGAATGTAGGCGAAGGAGGGTTCGACGATCAGCTCCCCATGAAAGATGAGCAAGGGTTTTAAGAAGGTTCAGCCGGCTGTGACAAGTTGCCTTCAGAGAGGTAATGTGAGGTTTCCACGATAACCTACGATCAAAGAGGAGGCCCAGAAACTTGACTGTATCACATTCAGGGATACGGAAGCCATAGAGGTACAAAGGATGATCGGAGATGACAGAGCGTCTAGTGAAAGCAATTTGGTGGGTTTTAGTGCTGGAAAATTTAAACCCACGTGTGGTGGCCCAATTGGAAACACGGTCGACTGCATGCTGGAGAGAAACTGTAATGAGGAGACAGTCAGTGCCTGCACAGGCAATAGCAAAGTCATTAACAGAGAGTGATGACCAAATATTGGATGGAAGACTAGAGGCCAAATCATTAATAGCAAGGAGAAAAAGTGTTGTGCTCAGAACACATCCCTGGGGGACACCTTCAGCTTGGATAAAGTCCGGGGAGAGCACATTATTAACCCGAACACGGAAATGCCTGCCAGTTAAAAAGTTCTTAAGGAAGGATGGTAGATTGCCTCGAAGGCCTAAGGAGTGGGCTTGGGCTAAAATATTATACCTCCAAGTTGTGTCATATGCCTTCTCATGGTCAAAAAATATGGCAATAACTCAGTGGTTATTCGCAAAGGCATTACGAACATACGTATCCAAGCGTAGTAAGAGGTCTATGGTAGAACGTCCCTTACGAAAGCCATATTGACGAGTGGAGAGACTGTTGTGTGTCTCTAAATACCACACTAAACGTCTATTTACTAGGCGTTCCATCATTTTGCAAACTGCACTGGTAAGAGCAATGGGACAATAGTGGGAGGTTTCATGTCCCGTAGTGCCTGGTTTGCGGAAGGGGGGAACAATGGCGGATTTCCACAGCTGTGGAAGGAACTCCTTGGGACCAAATAAGATTGTAAAGGCGTAATAGGACTGCAAGGGCTGACTGATGTAAATGTTGTAACATACGAATTTTGAACATCTTTCGGGCCCAGCTCCCGATGATCGGCAATCTGAGAGTGTTGCCTCAGTTCTTGAAGGTTTTAAAAGGCACTTTTATACTGTTCTTCTCTGAGAGAAGAAACGTCAAGGGTGCTAACTCTCTGGCAGACTTTGGGGAAAAGGAATTGAGGGGCATAGATGGAGTCCCTAAAAAAATACGGCCCAGATGATTGCCAATTTCATTGGTAACATCTAGTGGGTTTGCTATATCAACACCGGTAACCCGCAGAACAGGAGCGGGTCAGGAGAATATTTAAACTCAGTTTTCGTATTTTTTTCCAGACTGCACTCATAGAGGAAGCAGAGGTGATGGTGGAGACATAATCTCGCCAGAAAGTGCGTTTTAGCGTCACGGATGATACGGCGAGCGATCGCACGCTTCTGTTTAAAAAATTTCAAGAAATTTCTCTGTGGTTTATTGTACCGGTACCTCCCCCCTGCAGCGCGTTTTCAAACGTACTGCACGAGCACAAGCAGGAGACCACCAAGGCACGCATTTCTGAGATGCCTTTGCCCAAAGTTTGGGGTATAGAATGAGAAGCTGCATTTAAAAAACGGAGGACGAGAAGAGGTGTAAAGCTCATCGAATGGAGGACGAAAAAGGAACCTCTCTAAAACAGTTAGGTGTGAGTAAAGGTTCCAATTTGCCTGATCAAATTGCCAGCGTGGGATGCGAAGAGGTGGTGAATATGAAGGGGAAGTAAGAATGATTGGGAAATGATCACTGTCATGTAAGTCCAGGAGAACAGACCAAGTGAAGTCTAATGCGGTGGAGGAAGAGCAAAAATGAGTGATCGATTTCAAGAGAGAGTGTGAGTCCGAGGATCAAAAAGGGTTTGAGTACTGTATTTAAAAACATGGAGGGGGTGGGTGGCAAGAAAAGCCTCTAACTGAATGCCACGGGAATCACAGTGAGACCCCTCCCATAGAGGAAATGGTGGGCATTAAAATCACCACGTAACAGAATCGGTGGCGGTAATGACGAAACAAGAAAGGCAATATCCGGAATTTGATAATGCCTGAGAAGGAGAGAGATATAAAGAACAGAGCGTATACCACTATGCAAGTGGATACGGGCTGCTGTGTAATGCAGCGAAGTACGAACAAATAGCTGATGGTACGGAATATCAGTGCGTAGAAGAAGGGCACTTTCATTAAAGGTCCCATCAGGAAAAGGATCTGAAGATTACAATAAATTATAGCCTGAGATGGGAGAGATAACAGCAGAGTGTAATTTAGGTTCCTGTAAGCAAACACCAACAGTGGAAAACTGGGAGAGTAACATCTGAAGCTCACCCCGATTACCCCTGAGGCCGCATATATTCCACTGTAAATAGGCCATGATTGGCAGTGATAAAGATACCTGAAATCTGCAGGTAAGGGTTCCTACGGACTAGAGGGGTTAGTGCGGAGGCAGTGGAAAACGTTCAAGCAGCTAAGTAACCGTGCGCTGCG